GCACATGTCCTTGCACCGATCAGGTGCTCCTGCTCGCGTGCTGCCCCACAAAGTGGCACGCCCTCCTTTCCTTTCCCGCCCTTTGCCCTGGCAGGGGCGTCTACCCCCCAAGACAGAAGTTCTTGCACCAATCAGGGGGTCCTGGCACGCGTGCTGCCCCTCACGGTGGCATAATCACGTTTCTTTGTGCCGTCTGTCTTCCAAAGTGAACGCCCCCTGGCTGCCCCTCCCTCCCTCGCGCGCGCGCTCGCCGCGCGTGCGCCCTCCCCCCCCCCTTGGTGGTCCTGCGCTGCGGGCGGCGCCCCCCAGGGCTGCGCGCTGGGTGGGCCCCCATCCTGCCCTTTATGGGCCGCCACCGCTCAGCTGCCCTAGCGGCTGGGCTCGCACCCGCCTGGCTGACCCTGTGGTCGGGCGTTCTCCGCTCCGCCCCGCTGTGATGCGTGCACCGGCTGGGCCTGGCGGGCCTCCCCCCTTCCCTCCGCGCCGCCACGCCGCCGCCTGGGCCGCCGTCGGCTGTCCCAGCCAATGCTCCAGCCCCTGCTGCACCGCCTCAGCAGTTGCCAGCATCCTGTGGGCATTGTCCATCAGCATTTTGCTGCAGCCCACGTGCCGTGTCATGGCGCAGCCCCTTGCAGTCTCCTCGTTCGGTCCTGTGGACCGTGTTCCCGCATCCACGTGGCGCCGAGCCTCTGACGCAAAGTCTGACGCTCTCGGCATCGTGGTTGACTTTCGGATGCTCCCGCTCTTGCAGCCGTGGGTCATCTTTAGGTTTTCTCTGCGACCTAGTGGCTCACCTTGCTCATCACGCTCCTGCGCATGCAGCCCTGGCTTCGGTCACTGGACGTGGTCGTTGATGCCGTCCCGCGTTCACTGCCAGGTCACTTCAGCCCCGGCTGGCCGCCCTGGCGCGTTCATCCTGAAATTCGTTCCACGGTGAGTGCTCTCTTCCCCGTGCTGTCCTCTGCGGTCGCCCCTCCCTGCCTTCTCCGCCCCTCCCTGCCTTCTTTTTCTCGTGCAAGCCGGCCAGTTAGTCTGCGGAGCGCCTTCGGCATTTCCGAACGCGCCAGCGGCTTACCTTTGCCGCGCCGAAAACATCAGTTATGATACATGTGCCCGTTTTCCTGGTGTGCTGTCGATGTCGATTATTCATGTCTCTTTGCTCATGCTTCGTGAAGTCTGGATGGCGTGACGCCGTGGCGCCTCCCCCTCAGGGTGTCGTCATTATTCGAGGACGCGAACTGGGACACCCAGGGATTGCCAGGAATGTGTGGGGCTTGGCGACCGCGGCACGGTGACGTCATTCGCCGAGGGCGCGAGGTAGGATATTCAGGGACTCCCAGGATCATGCGGGAGTTTGCGACAGCGGTATGCAGGGCGGGCAGGCAGACGGAAATTCCCTGAGCGTATCTAACAACCCCAGTTTTTCGGCTGGGGAACAACAATGTTTTTTGGGGTTTTTCTATATGTTGTTTTTGTTTGTTTGTTTTTTTTTGGGGTTTTTTCTTTTGTGTTATTGATTGTTTCTTTTTTCTTTTCCTTTTATTTGGGGAACAACAAACGCCAGGAAATCCCAGTCTGCGAGGCCATAGCTGGGCAAGCCACCGTGAGGGTAGGAAGAAAAGTGGGATGGGAAGGGAGCCGCAGGATCGGGGCAGCGGAAGAGGAGGAGGACGAGAGGAAGACGGACACTTCAGATCAGGAGCGCCCTTTTCACTCGCACTAAGACGCTGAGGCCAGGCTCAGTTACAAGGTGCAGGAGAAGCAAACGACAGAGAGGCGGAGAGACGACACGGGCAGGGACAAATCCGGCTCGACCCTCAACGGGCCCATTGGCAGCCCCCTTGTCGCGTCACGCGGGGGAGTGGTCAAGCGGCTCAGCTCAGGATGCGCCTGCGCTGCAAAGAGCCCCTCGCGAAGCCTCACAACCCTGGAGCACTAGGGAAGTGATGGTGTCCCAGCAGGCGTTAAACCGCAGGGAGGGCGGAGCGATCCTGAAAGCCATTCGAAGCCAGGCGGTACAAAAGTTGTCGTCATCGCGGAGTTGATAGTGCGCCCTCGAAAACGAGCTCCAACAGGGATCGGGGCATCCTGGTAGTTGAACGTCACGGCTGGCGCACGAGCCCGCATCAGGTCAAATGCGTGTTCCTCATCAGGCCAGTTCCGCTCAAAACCTGTCCCCAGAGCCATCTTCCTGGCAGGTTGCCCGAGCTACGCCGAGCGATGCCAACGCCCGAGGGCAAGTGACAACACGAGCAGGCAACCCGACGGCAGACTCGTTTCGTGTCGACGCGGCGGTGACCCCAGCGCGATCGTTCAAGGTTGAACGCCGCCAGGGCCTGCCAGGGGCCTGGAATCGGCCGTCCTCGAACGGTCCGAGCTAGCGGAAAGCCGCGATCGTTACTGAATTCACGATCCGCGCGGCGTCAGAAACCAACGCCACCGTCGTCACGACACGAGCCCGCTGTACCCTCGCGCCTCGGCCCCGCCGCTACACCGGCAGGAGGCCGCTCGGTACCGCCCTGCAGCACTCGCGGCGGGAGGTGCCCCCGTCCTCGGGGAGCCCGTGGCCTTCGCGAAGTTCACGATACCGGCCGCCTCGGTCTTCTATCAGGACTGCCCGGCTACTTGCGGCAAATTCTGGCAGCCTCCCGTGTGGTCTTCCGCATTGTCTCCCGTATGCCCTCCCGTATGGTCTCCCGTCTGGTTTTCCGTATTGTCTTCCGAATGGTCTCCCGAACGGTGTTTTGTATGTGCATCTCAGTATGTTGATATCGTTACTTGGTTAATCTATGAAGCTTAGAATGTTCTGACGCTAGGGCTTAATGTTGCACTCGGTATTCAGGAAGGTATGTTGCCGCGAAGCTCTGTTCATGGTCTGGACTGGGCCGCGTGGCACAGATCACCGCGATGAAACACAATATCGTCGTCAGCACATGTGACCTCAGCAGCATGAATGATCAACCTGGGGGCTGGAGGATAGTGCGATGCCATGTGGCGCAACATTTTGCAGTACTGTGCTATGGTAGAGAACCCAGGTGTCCAATGGAACGCTTTCGTAGTGCAGCTGGACGCAATATGGCGCGGTGTGTACATGCAACGCGGAGAAACGCAATGAGTCGTAGCTCAGCTCGCACAAAGGACTAACATCTGCCGCGATGGAAGGTGTGGCGTAGTGTAGCGCAATGTGAATCATGATCGCACGCTGAAATCAGATTTGGCATGCATGTGCGTCCTGCTTGCTCGTTGGGTGTGGGAAGTACACCGGATGGTTCCCGCAAGCCCCGAATGTTGCTCTCTGGGCCCCCTCGACAGTCTGCCTCGGGGCTGACCGTGGCTTTCGTGAACTTGAAGCCCCTGGTGCCTGGGCACGTTCTCGTTGTGCCGAAGAGGGTCGTGCAGCACATCGCGGACCTGACCGACGAGGACGTGGCGGTCGCGCCGTTCGCCCGTTCCACTCGGGGGAAGGGCGGGACAACAAGCTCTCTGCAGCACGGCGTGGGGAGAAGAGGGACCCGAGTCAGAGGAGGCGGACATTCGGGGGCAGTTGGCGCTCTCAAGCAGGGGAGAGAGACAGGAGGACGGGGTGATGAGGACGACGAGAAGGACGAGAAGGAGGAGGAGAAGGAGGAGGAGGAGGAGGAGGAGGAGGAGAAGGAGGAGGAGGAGGAAGAGGAACCCGGGCTCTGGTGCTCTCCGCCACGGCGCGCTCCCGGCCGTTCCAGCGGCACCTGCCGCCGCGCCGGCCGAAGGGAACCTCCTTGCCGCGGGCAGCCCTGAGGTCGCCGCGCTGCAGGCCGCCCGCGGGAGGCTTTTCCAAAGGTTTCGCGCCCTCTGCGCGGCGGGCCTGGACAAACATGTGGCCGTGACACTCCTTCGCACAAGAGCGGGCTCTGACTACACCTTCATGGCGCGCACCTGCGGCATCCCGGGCGAGGAGGCGCGGGCCCTGGGGCCGCAGAGTACGAGCACGCCTTGGGCGTCGCGCTGGACGACGCCGCGCGCCTGAAGTTTGTCCTCGCCGGCGCGGACGGGGGCCACGGGCTTCAGAGCGCGGAGATTATGGCCCCCGCCGCGCACGCAGCTTCTTGGCACCTCTGCTTGCCGCGCTGCCTGCGCGGCTGGGCCTGGAGAGCGCCAGCGCCCTGACTGCAGTGAGCCCTTGGGCGCGCCGCAGCCTGCCGGCGGCCACGGCGACGCTCCAGGCCGCTTAGGGAGACCACACGAGGCACTGACACTCTGGCCACGGCCCCTCTCGCTGCAGCTGCCCGCCTCGGCTGCGGACCCCCTGGCGCCGGCCGCCCTGCGCTCTGCGGGGGGCCCAGAGGCGAGCGCCTTCCTGCAAGTGCCGACGCTGCCCTGCCTCCGGCTGACGAACGCGCAGCTCGGCATTGCGCTGCGGCCCCGGCTGAACCTGGATTTGCCGGGCTGCGCGGCCTTCCCGCCGGCGGCAGGCGCAGCGGGGCCGCGACGGCCGAGGCGTTGCCAGCGCCGCCGCCCACATGGCGGGATTTGCGGCGCGCCGCTGGGCCCCAAGGGACGGCACGCCCGCGGCTGCGCCGTGGGCGGGTGGCTGGCCCGCTGCCGCGACGCTGGCTGCGCGGCGCTTGCGGCGCGGCGCGAGGAGCCGGGGCGCACCGTGCACCGAGAAGTTTTGCTCCCCCACGCAGCGCCGGCAAGCCCCGAGGCGCGGATGGACTTCGCGACCCAGGCCCCGCGCTTCGCTGAGCCGCTCATGGTCGACCTCGCGGTCGTGAGCGCGCTCGCGCGAGACGCTCTCGGGCTCGGCTCTGCGCGAAGGAAAGGCGCGGCGGCGGCGGCCGCGGCGCGGCGCAAGCGGGCCCGATGCCCCGGGGGGGCCGCGGTGCCCTTCGCGGTCGAGGAACACGGCCGCATGGGAGAAGAGGCGCCGGCCCTGGCGCGGCTGCGCGGGACGCGGGGCGCTCGGCGGCCATCCAGCGACTCCATCAGTCGCTCGGGCGCGCCATCCAGCGCAGCGCCGCGGACGCGGCGCTGGCGGCGACGCGGGCGCGAGGCTGGGCCGCCGGCGCCCAGCGCGGGAGCCCTGTAGCGGGCTGAACTGTCGCGCGACGTGCGGCGGCCCGCAACGCTGACGCGACGCCCCGCCTGAGCCCTGGAGGCGCTGGGCCGCGCGGGCCGGGCAGCGCGGCCGCTGCTGGCAGACCGGGGGGCGAGGGCTGCAGCCGCCGGGCGCGATTTGGCAGCGCCGCCGACGAGGGCTGCGAGGCGGCGGGAGCTGGGCGGGCGGCGATGGGCGGCGAGGCGCCGGGCACCTGGCGGGGGCGGTTGCCGGCGACGCCGCGGGCGCGGGGTGCCAGGCGCGCGGCGCGCAGCCAGCGACGCTGGGCTGGCAGGCTGGAGGCGGGCGGCGCAGCCAGGGCCAGCCGAGGGCGAACTGCCGCGCGGGGCCTGCAGGCCGCCCAGGGGCCCAGGGAGCGCCGCTACCGGGTCGTGGCGGTGCGCTTCGTGCTCCCAGGTAACGGAGTCTATAGGGGCCCCGGCTGGCGGACCCCTCTGACCCCCCTGGGAGTCGCTGCTGTCGTCGACAGCCGGCTACCCACCGGGGGCGCCGCCCGCTTCCCTGAGGGTCCGTGATGTTTATTTCAAGGGTCGGCACGCTGATGCTTAACATAAGGATTATTAGCATTGCTGCCATGAAAAAGTTGGTTTTATATTAAGCGCAACATGTGAATACGAATGTTCTAAAGCTCACTGTAATGTCGAGTCGCTATTTCAATGTGGATGTACACATGGAAGGAATATAGTGTACCCGACTATCTTAAAAGCACAGCCACAGCCAAAGCCCAGCCAAAGCCAAAGCCCAGCCGACGCCAAAGCCCAGCCAAAGCCAACGCCCAGCCAAAGTCAAAGCCCAGCCGTCCCGAGATAGTCCGAACATTGTAAAATCGTTGATTTGCATTGGTTTTTGTCGACGGCTGTCGCCTTCTCACGTTTTCCCATTCCCAACGCTCCAAGACCGAGGAATTTAGAAACACATATGAATTACAGAGATTTGTTTTGCAAGTTGGGACTCCTACTCCCTATGCGCTTCCCCGAGCCCCATCAAGACTTCGGGGTCACATGCAACAATGCTTCGGGAATGCTGCTGAACTCTCTGACGCTGTCTTGGCACTCTGTTGGATATTCTTCGTGTCCACGCGGCTGCACCTGAAACCATTGTAGAAATCGAGATCCCATGGTCCCATGAGTTGAAGCAGTGGAACTTTAGAAAGTTTTCCAAACTCGCCCCCTGGTTGTTTTTGGACGAAGACCCCGAGAGGCATCCCAACATATTGTGGCCTGCGTGGTGAAAACGTCGCACAAACAGCCCAGGCACTACAACTTGGAACAAAAAGAATTTCCATCATTCCGTGTTTTTTCAAGTTCGCCCTTTTTGTTTTTTCTTGCACAACATACCACAATGAAGGCCCCAGAAAAGAACCCGGGAATCCTTCGAGGTCCCCAAATCGTGGGATACCTAACGGCAATCAATGATGTTAGCGTTTCCGCAGTTCCCTTTCCATGCGATCCCGGGGCCTGCGCAGGGCCTCCAAGAGGGTCCCAAGAGGCAAGTAACGATAAGGATGCTATTCCATGCGTTCCCCCCATCAAGCCGAGCTAGAACTTGAACGCGCGCGAAACGCGCGCGATGATTCTAGTACATACATATATATATAACATATATATATATATATATATATATATATATATGTGCGTGTGTGTGTATAGTGTCGTCCCGCCAATATGTCACGCCATGCAGATTGCGCAACATATTTCACCTCGTAAATTGCACCGCGTTCATCGGAACACGCATCCATACCATCCTAAAGAAGTCGGCTTCCCCCCCCGCCACTTTCTGCGAACAAGCATTACGCGCGCTCTCTCGTTAATCAAAAGTCACCCCTTTTTCCAAACATCCCGTGGAACAGAAAATATACAACGACGTGCGTGCGCGCGTCGTCGCGCGCGTGCTTGTTGGGAGAATGGTTTGCAATGTGGCTTCCCTCGCTAAGAAACTTGCGCTCTTGCGAGTTCGTGTGGAGACCATCGTGCTATCGGTCGTTGCATACCATGCGTCCAACCTGCCCTCCCGCGCCCGCATGCCGAAAACATTTTGAACGCCCTTACGCGCGTGCTTGTTGGGCGCAATCCTTGTGACATAATACCATGACGGCCTGCCGCGTCCGTCGGCCGCGCGCTTGTCGAAATCCATAATACCGCGCCTGTCCGAGTCAGAGGCTCGCATTGAAGCGCCCGCGCGTCAGCGCGGCCTGCGAGATGAGTTTTGCTGCGACCAGTGGTCAACGCCACCGCGGCTGCGTCGATCGCGCCGAACTAGCTCGCCGCTGCGCGCGCGAGCCTGCGAGCGCCAGCGCGGCAGCAGCGACGTGCAAGCCAGCGCCACGCATTCATCGCAATCTCAGCCGCAAAGGGTTTTGCAAAAGAGCTGGCGGGTGGGCGGGTGGGATCATTGCGCAAGCAATGGGGTTGACAGTTCCAAGTTGGGAAGGGCGAGTGGCACCGCGTAGATTGCTCAGCATAAGTTGCTCCATAACTATTGCACCACACACTTCTACACATACGCACATATATGCACATACACATGTTTATATATACACATATTTCTATTCATATTATATATATATATTATAGCCAAAGTGCAGTATCCCAAAACAGGGATTTTTAAAACCCAGTGTGGTTTCCAAGATCGATTGCGCGCCCGTCCAGTGCGGGCTAGCATGGCACGTTAGAACATGCCTCCTCCTCCTCGTCCTCGTCCTCCCCCACCTCCTCTTCATCCCGAACGGCATCTCGGAGCCCAGAGTTGCGCGGATGTCCCCAGCGTAACGGGCTGGATCATCTCGCGCGCGGCATGTCGGACCCCAGAGTTGCGACGATGTCTCGGGCAAAACGTGCTGCAAGGAAGTCTCGGGCGAAACGGGCCGGACCACCACGAGCGCGGCGTCTCAGAGCTCCGAGTTGCGGGGGCCTCCTGAGGTCCCTGGACCCCACCTGGGGCTTTCTGAAGCCTCTTGGGGCTCCCAGGGGGGGATATCTAACATGTGGCCGTCGGGGCCCCCCCAAATGGGGGGGGGGGGGGGCACAAGAGCAGGAAAACTCAACGAATCGGCACCGGATGTGTATTGATTTTACACGTGCTGATAGGGGGCCTCCTGGGGCCTCCTGGGAGCCTCCTGGGAATCTCCTGGGGGCCCCTGGGGCCTGTCCTGGGCGTCTTGCGGCCTCATGGAGCTCTCTGGGGCCTCCTGGGGCTCCCAGGGGGGATGTGTAACATGTGGTCTTCTGGGCCCCCAGGCTGGACCACCTCTTGCGCGGCATCTGGGAGAGTCAGAGTTGCGAGAATGTCTTATGCGAAACGGGCCGGACCACCTCGCGCAGGGCAT